CAACTCAAAAAAAAAAAAAAAATCTCGATAGGTGTATTGATAGACAGAGCGTACTTTTTAAAGGTGACTGAAGTTTAAATGTGTAAGAATAAATACACAATTGTTTATAAATAAATTCTGATTTTGGGGGGTGCCCCTTTCATAACTGAGCCTCTACTCTGTGCTGTCAATTGCCCTAATGCAACCACTCCTTGGGGAAGCTCTTCTCATTGCCATTGTGCAAATGAAGAAACAGAGGCTCAGAGGGATTTGTCTAAAGACACACAGCAAATGAGTGGCAGAACTGGGACTAAAATCCAGCCTCTCCCGAGTTCACTGTATCACTGTTATGTCATGGCTTCAGTGAGCAATGACTCAATACCAGCCCTCATTTAATACTAGCACTTTCTACCTCCAGGCCCTGTGCTCAATACTTCACAGGCATTATCTCATTTAATTCTCTTAACATCTTGGTCAGAGAGAAATTAGCATCTCAGTTTATAGACATGAGCTGAGAGAGTTTTATCCAGTCACACAGCAAATCACTAGGCAGAGCTGCCAAGGTCAAACTCCTTGTAAAGTAGTGGAGTCAGGTTCAATCAGGGTATGCAAGGAATTTCAGCAGAGAATGAGGACCCCATGCCTGGTGCTGACACAGAGGATGACTACCCGCTTCTAGAAGCTGAGTGGGGTCCTAACACCAGCCTCAGTGAGCCTTGGACATGGCTGGTTGTTGAAGGAGGGACAAGTAAACTTGGGCTCCCTTCTCAACAAGTCTGAAGGTTTACCTTTCTTCCATGACTTCCTCTAACCCCTGATCAGTCTAAATTGTGGTGTCAACATGTTATCTTAAATCATCATGGTACAGCGACCACTTATAAGACCATTCCCCAGGGAAGAAGCAAGCCCTCCACCTCCTTACTCTGGCTGGGCTTCTGTCTCTGCGTTCCTTCCCGCGGGCTCTGAGTACCCTGTCACCGGCTCACACTCCATATCTTCTGGTTATTCACAAGCCCACCAAAGCAGGGACCCCATCAGCATGTTCATCATTTCTCCAGGACCTAGCACAGTGCCTGGCACATGGGAGGCACTGAACAAATGACAATGAACAAATCATCCTCTAATGGCCTCATTCAACTCAACCACTCTCAACGCGGTACCTTTTATGAGCTAAGCACTATTGTTACAGAGGTGAGTGAGCATGGGTGACCCCTTGAGGATGCCTCAGTCCAGGATGGGGGCAGAATATAACCCTCAGAGCCACCTTAAACACTTTTTAAAAGAATGTGGACAATAAATGGATGACAAACAACTTAGAAGGGCCACCATTGAGGAATGAGCCAAGTCCTGTAGGAACACAGGGCAAGGACCCACTGAAGTCTGCACGCGGAGCTGCAGATGGCTTTGCTGGTGGAGGGTGAGCAGCAATTTCAGCCTGAAAGGGTGAGTGTGCCTGAGGCCAAGTGGGGAAAAGAGCATTCCAAGCAGAGGGACCAGTCTGGTCGATGGCGTTCGGCTGGAAAACTATTGCCTGGGGCTGGAGCAAGGGATGTGGAGGACAAATGACAAGAGATGCTTCTTGTCACTTAGATATGTGACCAGGCCACATAGCCTATGTTTCCCAGGGGGTGGGAGTGGGCAGTCTCACAGAGGGACTGAAACACATGGAATCATAAGACAACGCTCCTGAAGCTAGCATTATAATTCATAGGCTCATCCGATGAGGCCTCATTTCGATTCATTCTCGTGTGGCGACAAGATGTGATTCATCACCTCGGTAAACGCGTTTCTAAAAGCAGTCAGGAAGATGCAGCTATGCGGGACCTTTCCGATCTGAGTTGGGGTTTGCGGCCTGGAGAAGGCATGGGTCCCAGCCAGCGTTCAGCTCATCCGGCGGGTCAGGCGCCCAGAGTGTCTCCTGCACGCTGAGCAGAGCCTCCCGGCTCGCTGTCAAAGGACACGGCCCCTCCCGCCCGGCCAGGTAACTGACCGGCCTGCCCCTTCCCCCAGAACGGGACGGGCGGCTGCGGGCCGCGGGCCAACCTGCTGACTCAGGCTGTACGAGGGGCTGCCGCGTGCGGAAGCGGGGAGGCCTCGTCTTCGGAGGGCTTGCCCGCGGCTCCCGGTGCCTGTCGCTGCTCTCGGCCCGTTTCCTGCCCAGAGTTGGGGATTTTGGGGCCTGGAGGGAAAGCCCCTGGGGACGAGTCTTAGAGAGAGGGTAGCAGCGCCGGAGCGGCCTGCAGAGCGCGCGGGAGGAAGGCTCGGTCCGCAGAGGGCGCGGGGACGGCGGGGTGGGGGCGCGGTGGCGCCCGCGGGCCCCCGCTGGCGGCTCCGGCTCGGAGCACAGAGCACAGCGCGCGGCGGGGCAGACCGGCGAGTGGGGACGACCGGCCGGCGGGCTGGGGGAGGGGCGGCGGGGGAGGCAGCCCAGCGGGCCCGGGAGAGAGTGTCTGTCTGTGTCAGTGCGTGCGCGCGCGCGTGCGTGTGTGTGTGTGTGTGTGTGTGTGTGTGCGCGCGCGTGTGTGCG